TAAAACAAAGACTTATATTTTTGATATTTATTTTATATATTTAAATGCCATTTAACAAAAAAAAATCAACCAAAAAAATGAGTTCGCATGTCACCTCTGACACGCGTGTCATAGGTTCACCATCACTGGTCTAGAAGGAAGGGCATGAGTTCTGGGTGACCATGCCTCTTGACCCTGTGGACTTTGTACCTTGTAGGGTTTGGTGCACCTTGTAGGGCCAGAGCAGGTGTGCCTGTTGCTCACATGTAATGGTAATTTTGGGTCAGGTTATGTTATGAGTATACCTTGACCACCATCTTGCCAGATCCCTTTATTAAACCATTGCCAGATATTCTTGACTGTACCATCAGTTTCCTTCTGTAGCTATAGCTGATATAGCTGGCTCCTTCAATGAGATTTACAGTAAAGGTAAACTTGACATAGGCCTTGAGGGAAACTTTCACTTTCTAGGCCAAGAATAAGAGAATTTAGAAATTAAAGGAAATTGAAAGGGTATGGATTTTAATGTTCCTATCTATGCCAATGCTGGGCTGACCAGAAGATGCTGAGCGACAGATGAATGATTACTCTGACATAGGATTGCTGTGAAAGAGAGGACTAAGGGACTGCCTGGCTAAAGGAACCAGACAGCCTCAATCACCTGCCTCATTAGGTTTTTATTGTAACAGCAGTTTGAGATAAAGTTTAGCTTTTAGATACAATCAGTAGGGTAAGTAATCTTGGGGGGACATATGTGTCTGCAGTGTCCTTTAAGCAAGGACACCTAAAGATTAAGCATAAGGATTCCAGTACACACCCGAGGCTCCGCACATGCACAGACTTGATTGGAAAGGTCAAGGAACAATTAGGGGCACCACCTCCTGCACTCCCCTAAGTCAGAATTCCGATAAACAGAGTGGGCCACCTTCAGCACACTTCCCTTTTCGGAATGTCCTCTTTATAAACTTTCCAAGTCTCCTGTGCTCCTCTACATGCCAATCTTTTGCCCTATTTATTTGATACTAGAGGCCCATTGCAGGAAGAGATTCGTGCAATAGGCCTTCCCTTCCCCTGGCTGCCGGCACTGGTTTTCCTCGGGCACCCGGGACCCAGGCCTTCACTCCAGACGGAGCCTTCAGTCTTTACTTCGCTGCTTCGCCCCTACGTATGCAAATTAACCGCCATCTTTGTTGGGTTAATTTGCATACTTTCCTGATTGGCTGGTGAGCGTAGCAGAGGGATGGTTAATTTACATGTTTGTCTATTATTAGGTAAGATTTTATTTGGCACAGCTTAAAGATAGTCTTCTTTTTGAAGTTTTTCTTAATTTCATACACTCTAGTGTTCCCTCATATTGTGTAGGCATTGGTAATGTACCTGCCATATACCATATGGTGACTCACTTCTCTTCCTACTTTTCTTTAATCAAACCTCAGTGAACTTTTTATCCATACACTACATTGTGAAGTTAGTTGGCTCTCACTTGATGGGAATGCATCATTTACTTATTAGGTTTTCTCTACTCTTTTTTTCATTATCCCAAGATAGTTAAGGTAATACTATTTGGTGCTACAGCAATCATAAACATAAAGGCAAATTCAGGCCCTGAGGTCCTGAGGCACTATTCCATTTTCAGTGAGTATGAACCAACATATGAACCAAGATATGTTCATTTATTTTTTATTTTTTTTGGCAGTGGTTAAACTTGGAAAATTTATTTACTTTCCCACCTCACTAATCACTGATATTTGTAGCTAAATCATATATCTCTTCAGGACAAAATAGACACTATTGAGTGTCTATTACATCCTATGGAGAACTTCAATTTTAGGTCACAGCGTTAAGAGCTCCTGGTTTTAGTCCCATAAGCTCTCTTTGAAATGACCCACAGGATATGTTTATATTATAAATCACGGAAACAAAACACAAAAATTTTAAAGGTACTCTAAAGAAAGTAGGCTCTCCTCTCTTCTTCCAGTATAACTGCTAACCTTATTTTTAGAAACATGAACTTTTAGGACTGAATTGATGTGAGAGGTGAGGGAAAAGAAAAATATTTGGTATGATGACTCAAAGATGCTGGCCTGGGCCACTGGGTATGTGATCCTATTTACTAAAATCAGGAATAAAAAAAAAAAGGTGCTTTCAGGAGAAAGGATGATTTGTATAATCTCAGTTTCTCATTTTGAGTTTCCTGCGGTACATTCCCTTTCTGGTAGACTGGACTGTGGATATAAATTTGGAGTTCAACAACAAAAAAGGTCAAGCCCTGACCGGGTGGCTCAGCTAGTTGTATCATTGTCCTGTGCACCAAAATATGTGGGTTCCATCCCCAGTTAGGGTGCATAGGGGAGGCAACCAATTGATGTTTCTCTCTCTCTTCTATCCTCTCTCTTTAAAATAAATAAAAACACAAAAGTAAAATCAAACACATATTCTTGAAGGATTCACAAACAAACAAACAAAGAAGCCTGGCCAGTGTGGGTCAGTGATTGAGCGTCAACCTATGAACCAGGAGGTTACAGTTTGATTCCTGGTCAGGTCACATGTCTGGGTTGGGGGCTTGATCCCAGTAGGGGGTGTGCCGGAGGTAGCTGATCAAAGATTCTCTCATCATTGATGTTTCTCTCTCTCCCTCTCCCTTACTCTCTGAAATCAACATATATATATAAAAAACCCAACCAAGACAATAGATGTGGTCATTCAGGGAGAACAGTATGCAAAGAACAAAAAAAATGGCCAAAGAAAAATAGCCTTGGAGAACACAGTTTCTGCAGAGTAGCAGTTAAAGAGAAGAGGTAAGGAAGTCAAAACAGAGGCCTGACTTAAGAGTGAAATGGTTATTGCAGTCAGAAACTTTCAAAGGTCAAGTAAGATAAAGGTGGAAAAGAGTGAATCATAGCTGATGGATTAGGAAGTGCTGACCAGAGTCAGAGCAATTTCAGTGGAGTGTGGGGGCAAAGTCTGATCACAGGGAGCTTAAGAGTAAAGGGGGAAGTGAGGAAATGCAGCTAATAATTCAAGACAGTTTTGCTTTGTTGTGAAAATGTAGCCAGAGGCAGCTGCAGAGATGGAGGACGATTTGAAAACAGTGTAAGAGATTTGGCTTTTGGCTATCAATGATGGCATCAGGTGGGGAAGGACTAGAGTCCTTAAAAATAGAGGTTCTTTAGGAGTGAAGACAGATCAAGGGTCAAATAAAAAGAGGTTTCTCGTCCTAATCGGTTTGGCTCAGCCTAGCTGATTTGGCTCAGTGGGTAGAGCATCAGCCTGGGGACCGAAGGGTCCCGGGTTCCAGTCAAGGGCACATGCCTGGGATGCGGACTCCATCCCCAGTGGGGGGCGTGCAGGAGGCAGCCAATCAATGATTCAGGGCAGTGGGAGGAGTTACAGACAAGGGGTGGGGAATTAAGGGAGTTTACACAATACTTTGAGTAGGGCCCTCAGGCAGGTCCACTGTGTAGACCTAGAAGGGCGTAGGTGGAGCTGTGACTTGGGGAGAGTGCTGAACATTGGACAGAGAAAGCTGCCAGGAAGGAAAAAGTGAAAAAAGGTTACCGAGAGGCATGGAGGGTATTTGAATATGAATTTAATGTGGCACCGATCTCAAAACTTTCCCTTCCAATTCTGCCCTGCACGGTGAAGTAAGGCGCAGAGAAGGCAGATGAAGGTGGACTTGAACTTTAAAATTCACATCCCCAATGGCTCAGACGTACAGACACCAAGGTGCGTGTCCCAATCCTGTGAGTGCCTACCACACATTTATGAAAGGCACCGCAAGGGCCAGCATGTTTGTATTCTAAGACGTGTTGTTCTGTAGCTTCAGCATCCCAAGGCTTTTAAGGAAATCCAGCCAATTATAAAAAGGGGGGTTGGGGTTGTTGGGGAGAAACCTGGAGATGAGATGCGAGAATGGGTAGAACTTTTCCTCTCTCCAGATTCATCCGGAGGGATGACAGATGGCTGCTCCGGGTCCAGACGCCGCTCCTCGGGGTGGAGAAAGGGGCCCTGCCCCGCAGCAACCAGGCGGAAGCACCTGTGCCATTGGTCCAGCGGCCGCTCCCACCTGCGCGGAGCCCTAGGGACCGCGAGCGCAAAGTCCGCGGCGCCGGGCCGAGGAGAAGGCGGCCGGCAGCGCAGGTGGGCCCCGGCCCGAGGTCAGACACGATGCCCCTGGGACTGCGGGTCAAGAAGAAAGACAAGTCCAAGGAGAGCTGCGCGCTGGTGGAGGGCGAGCCCGAGGGCGCGGACGGCAGCCACCTCCCGGCGCCCCCGCGCTCCCCGGCCAGGCTGGTTTTCTACACGCAGCTGGCGCACGGCAGCGCCACGGGCCGAGTGGAGAATTTCTCCAACATCCGGGAGCTCTACGCCAAGATCGCCGGCGTGTTTGAGATCTCGCCGTCCGAGGTAAGGCCAGGTGCCCGGGCGCAGCCGCTCGCCCTCGCCCCGCCTCTCCCGCTGCGGCGCTGGCGGAAACTGGCCGGGTGCTGGGGCTCCGCGTCGGAGGCGGCGGGGAGCGCGCGGGGAGCGCCCGGGGGAAGGGAGAGAGTCTGGGCGGGAACGGTCAGTCCCAGGGCCCGAGAACGGGGCAGTCCCGGTGCTCGGAGACCCGGCTTTTGGGAAACCAGAGACCTTTCTTTCTTACGCAAACGGGGCCCGAGCGCCTTCCCAGAGTTGAGTTCTAGCTGCGCCGATGAGCGCCTCCACTTTATCTGGACTTGACTCTCCTGCTTCCTCTTCAGGGGTGAGGGGGCCTCGCTGAGCATCTCTCAGGAGAGGGGAGAACGACGTGCCTTTCAAAGGCTACCAAGCCGAGGCCCACTTGGACCCAGTTGGCCCCTCATGTCACTAATACCAGAAACCCTTTGGTGGTATTTCCAACAAGCTTATTATTTCCAATAAGGGTGGGCAACAGAGTTATACTTCACTACGTGGGATCAGTTAACATTTTCAGAGGAAATCAGCTCTAAACTTTACACCGTATCCTCGAAAATGGACCGAAGTTTGCCTTCATTAGATGGACTGCATGGTGCCAGGAACTGGGGTTCGGTATCAGCGTGATTTCGAAAGCACTAGTTTATGTGGACGGTGATGCGGCCGCGTCATTGACGCTTGCCCAAGCGAGCTGCACAGGTAGGCGTGAGACGTTAGCCCCGGAAAGTGTGTGTCCACCTTTCAAGGAAAAGCACAAGATCTCGTTGCCCTGTACTCCCGAGAGCAGGGGGCGGACTTGGAGTGGCACGGAGCGAGCGGCATTTGGAGATCTGATCTTTAATGTTGTTTATCAGGTCTGTTCCGGCGAAATTGAGGTCAGGGCAAAATTCCAGGAGGAGATGAAAGAAAGCTGGAAGTGTAACCTTTTGTTCTGTCAGGGTTCCCAGGCACTGGGGTAAACCACAGACCTCTGTGAATTGTGTATGTTCATGTAGAGGAGTAAGTCCTAGGAGGTTTTCTTTGTAGTAGGACGTTTCGGTTCAAAAAGCACTTTCCCAGGAATAATGTCCTTTGATCCTGTCTAGAAGAGGCTGGTGTCTGGTAGTTTCTTGGGTCCCTAAGGACAGGATTGGGAGGCTGATAAGCCTGGCTGTGGAGTCAGGCTCTAGCACTCATTGGCTGTGGGGCCTTGCAGAGATGTAGTCCCTTAGTTTCAGCCACCTATGCAATGGAGATTAGAACATCTACTACGAAGGGTGATTGTAAAGACTGAAGTTTACATATTAACTGTAGGGGTTCAGAACCAGTCACCCCAAGATGTGCCTCTGTGGTATATGAGGATTGTTTGAGCTAAAGACAGCCAAAACCCTGCTGGCTCAAGAGAAACTTTTGCCTTCCCTTAACTACCTAGAAGAACTTGAATAGGGGCCTTGTTTATAATATTACTAGAGGCCCGGTGCACGAAAATTCATGCACTGGAGGGGGGCCCTCAGCCCAGCCTGCCCCCTCTCACAGTCCAGGAGCCCTCAGGGGTTCTACTCAGGGCTTAGGCCCACCCCACAGGGAGCGACAGGCAATCAGGGGAAGGCACCGTCCCCATCATCCCCTTGCTGCTGCCGCCTCTGGCCTCCCTCTGTGGGAGGCTACTGGAAGATAAGGGGAAGGCGATGCCCCCATCATGCTTCTGCTTCTGCCACTGCCGGCCGTGGCGACTGCCTGAGCCTTGGGTCTCTGTGCAGCCGCAGCTGCCATCAATGGCTTGCCTGAGCCTCAGGCGGCTGCTGCAGCTTCATCTGGAAGGATGTCCGGCTGGTCGTCTGGAAGATGTCTGGTCTAATTAGCATACTATCCTTTTATTAGTATAGATCAGAGGTAACCATTGGGCAAACTTCTAATTACTGAATATCTGCTTCTATCCTTCTGCAATGACCTTCCTTCCCTCTGAAGCCCTACGGTGATTCTTAGCTCAGAATGTCATATACACTTCCTTTTCCCTTTCTGTCTTTGCCCTTTCTGTCTTTGAACAGCTCATGTATATGGGGTTACCATATGTACCTATGCATTAAACTTGGTTATTTTCTCTTGTGAATCTGCCTCCTGTCTATTTGGTTGTTAGTCCAGCTGCAAGAACCATGAAGGTAGAGGAAAGTTTCTTTCTCCCCCACCAAACCTATCAGATCGCATGGTGTATGGTCAGTGCTTCACAAATTGTAACTAATCATATTAATACCTAACAGTTAATGAGGGGGCTGAAGTACAAAGTGATTGGGCTTTGGCCAAGGACATGTAGCTAGTGCCCCCCCACGCCCCCGCAGCCCCCCAAAAGCTGGGCTGCTACTTAAATTTGGAACTTAAGTGAACTTGTTAGCATACTTTAACTGTCTCTCCTGTACCCAGGGACTCCAGATTTACTTACTTTTCATTAAGTCTTCCTCATCATAAGATGGCATTATTTTATTCAATCCACTTAATCCCTGAGAAGTATTATTCATATCCCTGCTTTACAAAGAGGAAAATGAGGCTTTGGGGCTCTAAAATTTTTCAAAATTACACATGGCAAGTGGCAGAGTCTGAATTTAAACCCAGGTTTTTTTCTGGCTCCCAATTCCATGACATAATATTGCTATATTGCTTCTCAAGTTTTCCATGGTGTCCCAGCCATAGCTTGACAGCCATGTTCAATATTCTCAGTTTTCAATGCACTGACTTGCAAGATAAAATTCCAAGATAATATAAACAAGGTGATGTGCTGTATCAAAGTTCATAAATTTTTATAGCCTCAAATATATTAGCATGTTTATGCATATACCAAACATTAATTCATGTTTTCCATTTGGATTAAAAAGAGTTAAGTATATCCAGATAAAGTATTGGCTATTATAATATAGTAGGTCATAAGTATCCCAATAAGTTTGAAATGGAAGTCATTTATTAAAATAAAACAAACACCAATGAGATCCCATTTCCCATCCTATTCTCTCCGCAAGAGAAATATGATGTAAACTTTTGAGCTGTCAGTGGGGACAAAACAAAAAATTTCCCCCCTTACTGTATGGTTAACTCAGAAGTCCTACCTTTTCTCTAGAGAGGTGGCTATCTATAATAATAAAAGTGTAATATGCTAATTAGACCGGACAGCCAAATGACTTTCTGGACTACCTTCCGGACAAAGCCGGCCTGTGAGGACCAAGCCACTTGCACGAATTTCGTGCATTGGGCCTCTAGCGAAGGTATAAAAAGCATTGTATGAGGAGCTCTTTACTGCGGAAAACAGGGAAGGAGTGGCCCGACCTGATGTCTGGTGCAGCTGATTCAGGCAAATTTACTGGGAGTCCATGATGGCTGGTATGTGAGTCTGCAGTGTGATCGTTCCGTCCTCACTGTAGCAGAGAGGCAAGGATTCTTTTCACTTTGCAGTTTGGCTAAGTGAGCCTTTGAGCATCTTGTCCAGAGTCAAGGACAGAGCCAAGATTCAAATCCAGGCTTTCTGGTTCCAAGTCCATTACACAGCAACTGTGAGATTCTTGGTCACTGCACTCAAATTCCAAAAACAAACCAGCAAAGCTTCTGTTTTAAAAAAATTGTCTCTTCAATTAGAGCCTCAAACTATTGCCTCAAGAAGATGCTGTTGTGAAACTGACAAATGTGGTTTATCACCTATTCATGGTCCCTGAAGGAAGAAGCTAACAGAACCTATGACTCACTTGCAGGGTACAGCCTGTGATCATTACCTTGAAACAGATGGGCAGTTATGCAAAAATCCCTTACAGCTGACATTGTTTTTTTTTTTTTACTAAAGGACTAAATGAGAAAGTAAATTAATCTTGTCTAAAAGAATAGTTAACTCATAACATTAATGCAGGGCAGTTTTACAAAAAGTTTACTATCATTTAAAAATATCCAGGTTATATAAATGAGTTGATCATTAAATTTTGAGCCATAGTCATAAAATTTATTGAAGAGGCATTTTGAATAATCGACCTCTGTAGTTATTTAGCAAGTAGTTTGTGCCATGGCATGTTTTCTTAATTCTCTATTATGGGAAAAGATTGTAGGAAAAAGGTATTGAATTTGAAAGAGCTTTTTAAGAAATCAGTTTTGTAGTTAGATACTTCACATGTCTAGAAATGGAAAACTCAAGTTTCTTTATATGTTTCAGAAATTATTTCCTTTAACTTGGTCATATTAAATAGTTCATTGAATAAGTGGATCAAGCAAAGATAGCCCCGTCTCAATACATAAAGGCAGTCAAATAAAGCTGTGTACTTGGGAAGCAGAAAAGGCAAGAATTGTGATTGTCATTTCAAGTTCCATATTTAACATAAAATCATGCTGTATGTCTCTGAAAAATGAAACAGACCTTCTCTTGCCACCTGCTCCCGTCCCTGATGCTATTACCCCATTTCTCTCTGAGAGGAAAATTTAAAATTTGCTATCGCCAATGAGATACATTCTGTATCTCCTCTCTGCTTGAAACACCCCATCTTATATGGAACACAAATCCCAAATCCAATGATGGGCTACAGGCCCTGTTCCCTCTCTAACATCATTGTTCCTTCTTCTTCAGCTAGTTTCCTGGCTATTCCTTGAACTCCGGAGCCTAAGGGCTTTTGCATTGGCTGTAGCCTCACCTGAACCTCTTCCTGCAATTGCTCTCCCATTGAGAGTATCACCTTCTCAATGCAGCTGGCACTGATCATCCCATTTAAAACTACAACACCCCTATTCCCTTCCTCACTCAATGTTGATCCATGGACACTAACATCCCATGTATATTTAACTGATCTATTTTGTTTATTGTCTTTTCTCACTCTGTGTACTGGAATATAAGCTCCACAAAGGCGAGGATTTTGTCTATTTTGTTTACTGATGTAGCCCCAAGGGCCTGAAACATAGTTGGAGCTCAGGAAATATATGTTGAATAAAAGAAGCCTCACAAATATAGTACTTAAAATCCGGTAGCTTTAACACAA